AACTCTAAATTCAATATATGAAACTGTCTTCTACGCACTAATAAAAAATTTTCCTTGTAAAATTTTGGTATAAGAAACGTCTTTTAATTATAATATAACGCCAAAATATTAATTCTAGTTTAACAACGCGAATTTTTACTTGAAATTTTTTTGATCACTAATATAAATACTCCAATGATTGAATAATTAGTACAGCCAATCAGAAATGGTTGGAGAAATTAGTAAATCCCCTTTTAATGTACCTGAAAAATGACTCAATTATGGTGTTTAACCTACAATAAGTAAAATTACTACCCTTACCCCATCAATTTTTAGAATAATATTTATACATCATGTGATTTGTAATACATGTGATTTAAAATTTTTTCGATTGTAAAAAATCGCAGCACACTGGACCCGTTCTATACAAATACCGGCACCAGAAATTCCAAGGGTGCCGATTAATCCATGTTATATATCATAATCATAATTTAATAAAACTTTATGAACTTTTTGTTTATAACTATAACAATGATAAAAAACACTGTAGAAATAATGTTCTCTGCTTTATTCTCGACAATTAATTATAGTATTTTAGAACAAACCTGGCGGCAAGTACCCACATGATCATGCGTACTAGTACAACATAAAAATTTGGTTATTCTTCCCATTTAAATTAAAAAAATTACTCGCACAAACTTCATTTATTTAAATAATGTTTAGACTTGAAACTCCCAACGATTTTCGAGTAATCCTTTGGCAGTATCTTTCAATAATATTTCTCTACGATGTTCAACGTATGTAGTTTTACCAATGATTTGTTCCTTCAATTCGTTAAGTTTGCCTGTTCTGATAGAATTTTCTAATAATTCCGAAAGCTTTTCGACAGCATTCTCGATATCACTTTGATTTAATTCAAAAATTTCTGTTTGATTGTTACGAGTAAGGTAAAATGCAAATATATATGTCCACTTAAGTGTCATATGACATTTCACCAGAGCATTAACTGCGTTTATAAGAAATTGATCCTCGATTTTGCTATAAAGTTCATGTTTAAGTTGTAAAAAATTTTCATGATTGTTGTACCTATTGTAATACTAACGTTTCAATATAGAATTAAAAATTTTGCATTTTATAGTATATGTATTAGTTAAATTGTATAATGAAAAATAAGTAAAGAGTATCATACTTGAAGATATTTCTCTAAGGATGCGCGAGATTTGGCTTGCTGGTTTTCCGCGTCCTTAATACTTTCATCAGAAAGATTGCAATTATGCACATTTAATAAAGGTTTCATGCAGACCCAGCAAAATTTATAATTGCAATTAATACAACTTATTGGGTTGCCACCACCATTTTTTTTCAATATTAGAATTACAACGTCCACACTTTTTTGTGAATGCAGAAATCCAATTAATTGTTTCAGAATCATTTTCACATTTTTCAGCCCATTTTTGAACAAGCATGCAAGTTGTTGGTTGATGGTCAGGTAAAGTGCAACCGAAGCAAAATCGATTCGAACATTTACATTCAACTGTTGGAACAATTGTTGTAAGAGAGGTTTCTGGCACATGGCATTCGATCATATATTCACAGTCAGGAGCAGGGCACTTGCGTAAATGTCTAATCGGGAATGTCATTATATTAGTAAAGTCTTTAATATAAATAAATACAATTAAAATGTAAAATAAATTACGTATTTACTTCGAATCTATGTTATCAACTTCTTGCTTCTTAATGATATCTTGAGGAGAGTGAACTGTAAATTCTACTTCATATATCCTAGAACGTAAAGATAATGTATTGAAAGAATCAAGGTTTTCCCCAACTAAATCATCGTAATAAGCATCATCTGAGTCATCGTAGCTTGATTCATCTTCTAATTTGTTATTGAAAAAGTTAAAAGCTTTAAATTGAATTATCATCAATCATTAAATCTGCCTAATTACCTGAGTCTGAAGAGGAATCATTATCATTGTATATGAGATCTTCGTCAGACTGGTCCATGATTTTTAACTTTAGTTTCTTTTTGATTTAGAAGGTCCTTTCACTGTTCATTAAATTTTTAGAACGTCAAAACAGAGAGATAGATAGCTTGTGGAATGGCTATCTAAAGTCTTTAAGACGGAATGCGTTTTCCGCTGATATTATTAATTTTTCATCTAAGAAATGCATGTTTCATTGTTGATACTAATTTTCGTCTGATTATTGTTTACGTAGCAAAATTCGAGTGCCGCAAAGCTAAAACATGCAAATCTTATCTAATAATGTTTGTATGTTTTAGCTTTGCGGCACTCATTTGTAGTATAACGTTACTTCTACTTGATATATATTGTATGATTATCATCATATGATCTGAATAATGTATACGTATTGATATACTAAATTAGTGATTTTTATTTAATTCATTGAGATAGGAATGGTCATACGGCCATGAAGGTTGCAATTTTGCCCAATTTTGAAAAGGTGACATTTTTCAGATGTAGGATCATGCACGATTAATATCATGAAATTTGTTTTGTCGAAGCAAATGATTGGGCTAACATGTGCCGCGTAGCGGCACGTTTCAGTCAATAATTTGCTCCAACAGAATAAATTTTGTGATATTTACCATCGCATGATCCAATATCAATGCTATCGTGTAATTATGATCATGATTTACAAATCGTAGTTGGTTAACTGAGTTGTCTTATGTGCGCACTGGACGTTTTTTGTATATCATTTTCTAATCATATGATAACTCAATGTTTTGATCCCTTTGGTTTTATTTCTTCTTGCATAGGAAGTTGTGAAACTCGTATAAAACTCATATTAATTAAGTTAAGAAAAAAAATTGAGTGAAGGAAAAAAAGCATACAAAGGTAAAAAGGAAAAAATGATGAGCGAAAATGAGAAAAAAAAATGTGTAAAAGTGAATTAAATGATTAGAAAGATCTAATAATATATACGATAAACGACAGTGCTTAAGTCAGACATTATGGATAAAAATGTTATCAGTTAAGTTGCAGCCGATAAATCTAATTATTCGAGAATTCTCTGATTTTTTAATGGGTCGATATAAAGAGGCACTCACAGATTTTATTAAATTTTTAGAAATTAATCCAAATAATGAATTTGGTTTGATATTTCGAGGAGAAATTTATCGTATAATGGGAAAATACGAAGATGCACTTGTAAATTTAACTAATGCATTAAAAATTAATCCAAATAATCCGTTTACATTAGCATTTAGAGGATGGACTTATCGTCTGATGGTCATACAGAATGAAGCATTTGCAGATTTAAATAAATTATATAGCTATTAAAAACTATCCAAAAATAATATTGATATGTTAAAGAATCGAGAATCCACTTATTTTTTAATAAGACGATATAAAGAAGCATTTAAAGATATTAATAAATAAATCATTAAAATTCAACCAAATAATGTGGATAATTTGACGAGGCAAGGAGAAATTTATTGCACGGGTCTTATGTGACAACCCGTGCTTTTTTCATTTACTTATTGGCACGGGATTGTTACGTCAGAC